CACTCTTTAATAGAATGGCTGGTGATAAAATCTTGTGCCGCGTGTAGATTGTCCCCTTCCACATGTATATCCCTTAAATTAAACCAATGCTGGAAATATTCTGTCCATTGCACATTGCTAATACCTGCAGCTGGGCTGCTTGTCACAGAAGGTGAAGAAATAATATTGTTGACACGTCTCCAAAAGGATCTATACAATCATCTATACAATCTTCCTCATGCTCAACTCGCTTCTCTCTTCTGTGATATCATCCACTGTCATTTTGGGCAAAGCAAAATTACTGTGTGTTCAGAAATTTAAATATCGGATATTAAGTCGAAGGATTGAATTTCAAAAAATAGCACATTAGTGATCACGGGAATCTGTTTTTCACCAAAACATCAATGATAATTCTGAAACGTCGCCGAGGAATCTAGACTCGTTTTGAACGATTGGGAAAATACCCAAACACAAACGCCGAAGTGTACTTTCCGCCATATTGGATTCTGTTCACAAAAATCATGTTTCACGTATGCGGGTTATGAAACGCCTTTGAGATCACGTACATTTCAAACTCAGCTGCGATACATGCATCCCTGAATTCCTCCTACATTGTAGAATCAAATGACAAATGGTCTTTATCACCAATACAAATTATCGAGATGACATCGTTCGAAATAAATTAGGTTTGGAAACGAACACTGTGCTCGGAAAACTGTACTTGTTGAAATGTAAACAAAGCAAAATTCAGATTTTACACCTTCCCATTTTGAGAGATCAATTCGTCTAATTGATCAGGGAAATTCAACATCGATCGTAAACGTTTTACATAAACGTACTGTTGTCAGTGAACACGCCATTTTGTAGACGTCGGTCACCGGCAGTGATGTCATACGATATATAAACATTGTTGTACATATTTGGTTATTTCTTTGAGGTGATTTTGTTTAACTCAGCATCATGCGGGTTCTTTGATCTTATCTAGTTTGCACTAAAATCATGGCTTTTGTAATCCACAAAAAGGCAGAAACGTTTTCAGGCTTAGGTGTAGGGTCACATTATTTATGAATAGTAAGCAGTACGTCGGATGACGTCACTCATGACTGTTTGGTTTTGTATGAATGCGCCACTGCGATCATGGAAACAGACAAAATGCATCGATTCGATGCTAATAACGTGCGACTTTAGGGTTTGTTAGAAACAGATTACTGCACTCATGCCTGTCAGATACCATTTTTCTTACAACTCGTTGTTTCAAAGCGTATCTAACGGGCGAAAGCTTTTTGAAAAAACTCGTTGTAAGATAAATTGTATCTGACAGGCAATTGTGTAGTATTCTCTTTATATCTGATGATACATTATTATCCTCGTTCGTCGCCCGGTTAGCCGTTGCACTATGGGCCGTATTTACTTCCAATGACATAACGCATGGAAAATGATCCGACACCATGTTCGTGTAGTACTGTGGTAAATTAGTAACTTGAACATAAACGGTAATCAACCAGACTTGCTTCGTCTCCTTTAAAGGGGCACTGATATTCAACAATTTCCCGGGACTGATTGCTGCCTTTGTTGTTGTGTACCGTAAGTACCCTGGTGATATCCCAGAAATCTCGACTAGTTCGCGACCTGTGCTGCGCCAACAGTAAGCGCATTTGTCGCTTTTATTTAATATTTCACCTGAGCATTGCTTATTCTATCGTTTGTACATGTTATAGCCAATGTGTAATATGACTAAAATTTTCACTTAGGCAATACATCAAACTTTTAAATATTCAGTTATTTTACAAATTGACTGAAAAATGTATTATAACGAATTCCAATAAAAAGCGTACTATTGGTTAATCTGTTGAACAAAACATCTTGTTTTTAAATAGGCATAGTGAACCTACCCATGTAAACACTTGTGACAAATCCACTGTGCAAGATAACAGCGATGAATCAATCAACGTATTTTCGGTTTAACCTTTGATGGATGTTGTTTTTTTGTAACTCAACTGATCATTCTTTCTTGCTGCGCTGTCACGTTCATTGTTCAGAACATGCATTTCCCCCAAGTTCAAACCTGGATTTGGATTGAATAATTACCCCAGACACAAGAAATGCCAAATTGGAAGTTTTGTCAGTGGTTCTACCACTAATTATATCTGTAATAAATTCATTAACCGAGCATCAAGTGAATGAAGAAAAATACACAGGTGTTGGGTATACCACGATAGATGGATGACAAGGGAGTGGCAATCGTATATAGACTATCCTTTATATGGTCTCCCTGGTGTTAGCCATGTCATCCGAAATCTAAAACTGCTTTCATTGCAGGGATTCATTTTGATTAAACCATAACCATCAGGGGTATTTCCATATAATGACATCGGATGGGCTTCCGCCGTTCTTTTTGTCTGTTTTATTAGGTTGAAGAAATTAATTAGCATGTGCGCATGCCCTTTGTAATATCGAAGACTTCATAGATCACGGGTAACCAATCAGTGTTAAGAAATGCGTATAGATATTGCCTCAAAGTTTATTTACGCTGTTATGGAAATGTTTGTTGTCACGTTTTATTTATGATTCCATGAACCGAAAACAAATAAGGCCACGTCCACTAACCGACTTCTGTGTCCTGATTGGCTGATAAAAGAATGGGTTGGGCTGTAGTTGCGTTATAGCGCTAAACGATAAACTGATTTTGTATGTTATCTACAGTTTCTTTTGTGTTAAGGATTAGAAAGACATCATGTGAAGTCATAATTTCAACGTATTTATTAATAAGAACTACTTCATATGTAGCCTTAGGTACAAATATGCAAATATTTTAGTGTACACGTAATTGACACTTACGTTTGTGCGGATGTGTTACATTTATGAACATAAACAAAAAGACATAAAGACTGTTCCCTGAATACATACGACAAGTATCGATCAATAACAATATATAGTTATTTAACATTTCGACTAATAGACAGCTCATAATCACTCAATGATAAACAATGCCAGTTCATGCAAGTCTTTCCTTTCTGGATGACGAATGAGTTGTATGACGCACATTTCTATAAGATCTGAAAATTAAATTAGTCATGGTGTAAAATTAACTGCAATCATTGAACTGGCTCGAGAAACCGACAGTGCTTTGTGTTGCCGAGATTTTGTTATACGTCAACTCGTAGCATATTGCGCCACATTTTTTCGTACACAAACAAAATACTGTCTAATTTCTGAAGGACTGAAATCTATATCAAGTTGATTTGCATGTTTATATATAACGTTATGCATTCGAGTTTGGTGATAATTTGCTGTGGATAACGACAATGTATTTTCGCATTGTTTTGTTCACGATTAACCCATCCATTCCAACGTCACCTCAAATAATAATTAATGAGGATATCATACTACACACATAGGAAGTCATAGCGAAATGGAAGACCACATCTAACACGTGAATTAGTCCCTGGGTTCAAGCATTCACCTGATTGTGTCAGTGTCATGTGACTCATGGTGTACCATTAATAATCAAGTGCTTACAAATATGATGAAAACTGAAAATTTGACACAATTTCGTTTGACGTCATTACTTGTTTTATGTCTTTGGAGATGCGGCATTGAGACATGCTATATTGATCAATATAATTATATATTTCATCAACGTGCGTTCACCTGCAAAAACAACCTGGATGTGTAAAAAAGAATCTGAAACTTATTCGGCAACATTGATTTATGTTTACATCATGTAAGTAATGTCTTTGAAAAACAAAGGAGTTCGTTTATTTTTTTTCGATAACATAGACATTAATACTACATATAAAAAAGAAATCTATAAAGTCAAATCTGTTGTTAATATCGGAGGTATGTGTGTAATTAGAATGTGGTTATTCTCTTCAATTTGTCTCAGTATTTTACATATTTTAAGAATAAAATATGATTAATTTTGTTATTTAAGAATTGACGTGCAAGCTCCAACGTTCATACAGTTTGACCCTTACTCTATGGAAGCCCATCCTCGAACTCACACAAAATGTCAAATTGAATTCTTATCATGTTTTTATTTCACTATTTTATACCTCAAAGGATGTGTACACATCTTCAAATAGCACGTCATGTTTACACTGGCAACCGTAAACCAACCAACCTCACAAAGTCATAGTTACAACGGGTCGTACTGCATTGAAATAAAGAAGAAGACGTCTAAATGTAACAAGTGAGGTGTATAGGGTATTAACGTCGCTTTACAGATTATTGTACTGATATAGCTACGTGCATGTGTGTGTGTGTGTGTGTGTGTGTGTGTGTGTGTGTGTGTGTGTGTGTGTGTGTGTGTGTGTGTGCTTTTACTGGTTTGGATCAATGCCGATTTCATAGTGCTAGGACACTGAGATACCATGACGGAAAGATCCCTTCGGCACTCATGTTTGCGGCTTTTTTCTTTAACGAACTTTGGTTCGTGGTGACGTTTCAGAAATATAATTTGGTGTCTTGACAAATCAGATGTTCTATTTAATCTCAAACTGAGGTTGAAGGACAAAGACATACATGTCCCTGTGGTATTCAGGGGATAACAGTCTGTCAGACATAATCATGCCCTGTCGGCTTGACATGGTACGAACACCAACTTGGCGCACGTTGATGGCTGGGATTCCATTACGTGTGGCAGCTGATGGACACAGTCCCGTCCAGTGAATTGCCTGTTGTACTTCCCTTTTCACATGATGATACTGTTAAAACAGGTACGTTCTGCATTATTTGTTTGTTTGTTGTTTGAATCCGCACCCAGCGGTATGTCAGCTATATGACGGCGGTCTGTAAATAATCGAGTCTGGACCAGACAGTCCAGTGATTGACACCATGATCATCGATGTACGCTATTGGGATACGATGACATGAACCAACCAAGTCAGCGTGTCTGACCACCCGATCCCATTAGACCTGTTCTGACCCGGATCTTCACGGTAGACCTTCTGCATTAAAGTAGTGCGAGCAGGCAGTACGTGTATATGGGACACACATACTGATTACTATCTTTGTTTCAGTGATGGAGATGGACCGGAGCATCTGTGACCAGGAGATAACATGTAAGATCTGCGGCCTTGACTCAATGATGTTACAGTATATTATTCATTGGTTTTGTCATTCATTTTGTCTGTTGAGTTCGATAGGTTCGACCACTTTCGAGATCTAAACGAGCGTAAAACGCAGTGTCAGTCAATGTTAAAGTATAGGAGCTATGATAGGATTTGCGTTAGCGATGTTCCATGCAAGAGGTTCTTGGGTTTTCAATGTTATGTACAAGAAATATACAAGAGAGTGAGTGAATGAGTAGGGATTTACGCCACTTTTAGCAATGTTCCAGCAATATTACGGCGGGGGACACCAAAAATGGGCTTCACACATTGTACCAATGCGGGGAATCGAACTCGGGCCTTCTGCGTGACGAGCGAACGCTTTAACCACTAGGCTACCCGACCACCCCAATATATAGGAGAAGAACGCTTATGACATTTGAAATTGATATAACACTAAATTGTGACTTTCTTTTTCTGGTTGGTAGATACTAGTGTCTTGTGAGTTAGGAAGTTAAAGTGTTATACACTACAACAAGATGTGTTGGTATTTATTATGGACGTTTTCTTCCCACAGGCCCGACTCTGGAATGGGACTCAAGCACTGCTGATAACACTATTGACGTGTCTGGATGTGTAATCACAAACACCACCTTAGCCGTCCCTTCTCCTGACACAGGATGTCGGATACAAAATATCACTTCATGTCTGGCATCCAGGCCTTTAATGGTTAAAAAATGCCAAGGCCAGCGATGCATGTTTCGCGTAAAGTTTCGGGTTTGTGTAAAGGAATTGATACAAGATAATAAACTTATACAAGAGATTGCCCTGACCCCCACCCCTGTAGATGCTGTCTGTTATCAAGTCACCGGACTGAGTGTACGTGTTGTTACATGCCCCAACCACAAGCAGCAGCTGTGTCTCTGTGTAGTCTGTAATAACACCCTCTTCACTGATCGCCCTCTCATTCAGAACAGAGTTGGACAATCTATTGACCTACAACTGTGTTTTCTAATGGATGGGGCTAATGACAAAATATTAGTTATTGATGCCGGTGATAACAAAGTGTACACCACCGTCACAGATGTTGCTTTTGACAGACCCATGTGGGTCATGATGTATGTTGGTTATCCCGCAATATCAGATGTAAGAGGAGAACTGATTACAGGCCACAACATCACAGGAACCTTCGCAAACTACAATCATTAGACTAGTTTCCACTATCCACAACAATCACACACTCCATGTAACATGCAATGTATACAAGCACAGCTCAGTAAAATAATATGTATGCCCTTGACACATTACCAACTTGTGTACATATGTAAAAACACGTTTGGTTTACATATTTAATACAAATAGTAATGTAACCGTGACGATCCGGGTTAGAATCCTGCTTGCCGTAAGAGGCTACTATGCTTGTCGTAAGAGGCGACTAAAGGGATCGGGTGGTCAGGCTCGCTGACTTGGTTGGTGCATGTCATCGTATCCCAATTGCGTAGATCGATGTTCATGACAACAATCACTGGATTGTCTGGTCCAGACTCGATTATTTTCAGTCCGCTGTCATATAGCTAGAATATTGCTCATTGCGACGTTAATCAACAAACAAACAATGCAAATCCGAATGAAATTTGAAGCCATAATAAAGCAACACGGCTGATGTTCAGTACTTTTCCTTAGTATCTTACTGTCGCAAAACATTAAGCGGCAAAGTGGACATTATTTGAACGCAGACTAGAATAACAAAGTTAATGACTGAATATTCTCATGCTAGCATAAATTGCGTCTTACCTTCGAAGAGTGTAATGTTTTACAATCATATCAATTCTCATTTACCGAATATCGCTTGCTGACCAAGGAAAATACTATTTCAAGTAAATATGACACTGTGGTGTAGTTGTTGTGGCTCATTATGAATGCATGCACACATGTAGGGAGAACAGTACTATTGCGAGAGGAATATAGATTTGACAGTAACTTTGAAAGTATTCGTTGAAATCATCTGAGGATTGCAATATCACCTCAGTCAACGTGTGGTTACAGATAATTTATGGGAGATAACTCGTGTGGTACAACTTGGGCACCACCACATCTCTATCCCCGCTCCATATCGATACACCCTCACCTGTAATCAACTCATTTGAACAGTCCCGTGATTTTTGTTATTACCATGTTTTACTGCAATTGTAAATAGCACGGATTTGTGTATTTTCAATTTTTAGACATGATGATGTACTTTTTCATCTGATATCATGTTTTCTACCTCGACCAATGTTCATGACGTTCACAAAGGACTACGTCATTTAATGTCAGCGAGCTTGTTATATATAAAGCTATGTCAATCATATGACGTCATTTGAGTAAGTAAAAATACCTCCAAGGTAAGGGCTGGACTGAAAAATATATTATCATTAGGGTTTTTATGACTCAGGGCACGGGCTGCCCAGTCGTCCAATGCGCCGTAGCTCGATGTGTCATGGACGGGACATAGTCAGGAGGCCGTGCTTTCCAATTTCATACTTAGATTAAGGTTCTTGGTTTATGAGTAATATTTCCTTGATTAAGGTTTTCATTCATCATTAAGCTGACGCGCTCTTATTTAACTGAGCTACTGCTCAAAGGAGCGTTAAACCTTACACACTCCAACCCAAATTACTTTGACGACACAATAATGATGGCTAACTTCACCTAGTACATCCACTCGTGAAATATGAACGTGTTTTCCTCTCTGTGTGGTTATGTGGGATGGGGTGAGGTTGGTTAGGATGGGGTGAGGTTGAGGTGGGTGGGTTTTGGTTTGGGGTTGGGTATGGGGAGTAAGTCGTATTCAATGATACCTTTTCGAATGGTAGTTTTTAAGTGACTTCGCCCCTTGTATAATATCAAAGGAAAGAAATCATCTGGTAAAATTTGTGGTCATGTTATTCTCTGTGGAATTATTATCCAAAGTTCTTTCCGCATTGAATAATCAGTATCAGCAGTCATAATTTATGTTTCTACTCTCTACAATATATAACGTTTCTGCCTTGTTTCCTTAAGACATTGGTACTTATATTTCTTGCAGGAAATAGAACCAAAGAGCCTCATTAGTATCAATGTTGTATACTTGCTGTGTAGTCGAACACTACTTGCGTTAATGCTGCTGTACATAGCGCGCGCGTGTGTGTGGATTGTTCCTTATTGTGAAAGATATACACTTATTATACATTTAAGATGTCACCATGAAATGTCTTAAAGTGTTCATTTATTGTGAAGTTGTGCAAGTGTATACAGCAATTCACAATGTTAGTATTATCTATATATGTATATTCGTATTATGATGTTATATTAACTGGATAATGAATGAAAAAGTGAAGTGCAACATATAGGTTATGTTGCAATGTTTTGAATGGGGCTTCAAAATTGCTTGAATTTGTGTGAGAAACATCGTCATTTAGAATATAAACTTACCCTGTTTTGAAATTTGATGTAGTCCCACTGTAGAGGAGATGCCTCTTACCTTAATTTGTAACCGAGCGCTTTACACGAACCAAGATCTATGATGTGGTTCCACATTAACCTGTTGATTTATTGGGAATGAGCCTGTTGGTGCAACGTGATTGCCAATGGAACTGGAACAGCTGCAATTTAGGCTGCAGATGAGTGACACGACACGAGTGATTTGTGACCTGTCAGTTTCAAGATTTCACGGCATTCGACGCCAATATTTGAAAGAAATGTGACAGTTTTGGCTCTGACACAGAGGTTCTGTATAATTAGTGAGAAAACGCTACATTCACCATGATCTATCGTTAGTTTCGCTCTATGAATTAGTGTCCTGTGTAAACATTAGTGTCTAGTAGACAAGACAACTATGTATACGCACATAGGCTTCAAACATTCCATTGATGCACTGAGTGCATCTGCTGAAATGTCAACAGTCAAGGCTGGTGAAAAATAATCGTGTGAAGATCATTGTTTCCACCCTGGACATCCAGACTAGGCCTATTTTGGAAGATTGACCGTTGTTGCTTCAAGGTAAATATTAATGTCAATGACTTTATTGCTCTCACATATACTTTTGTGGATTTTGTACTACCACTATAGTGTGTCCACCCGTTGTAATTACTTTGCAGCAATTTGTACCGATTTGTAAACTTAGTTAATTCTATATGATAGTTGTTGTTTGTATAGCATTTCTTTGCCTTTTGTTGGGTTTCACACTAAATGATTTTACACATGGATTTATTGGTCAACTTGTTTCAATTTGGACGTCGACACGTAGCATTACACAATCTAAATATATCACTTAACAAATGCAAAGAATGTGTAATTTAATATTTGTCCCTTCGTTGATTTGAATATTAATAAAACTATCAAAATGTATTTGTCAACTTGCACTTTTTTATTTATTTACACTGTAGATCTAGAATAAGTCCTGATAACCGCATGCATGCTGAAAAAGGCAACTCAAATACGGATCAGATGGCCATGCTCTGTGACTAGGTTGATAGTATGCCAATGGGCATGCATGTTGCTTTCAACCACCGGTAAGCCTGATCTATCACACAAGTCATGGCAAGGGAAATAACGTGCTCGCGATGTCAATGTTAGGTTTTAGGTACTCATATGCAGTACATAGCCTAACATATTTGTTGGTTTGTATGTAGCGTAAACCTAACACAAGTGTTTTCAGTATATATCACTGTGTCACATCGCCAATACATCATTGCCGTGTTTACACTTTATCGAATAGTTTAACATCGGTTTTTAAGATTCTAGATAAACATACAGCTTTAAACACATATCCACTTCAGAGAGGCTTAAATATACTTAATATGTGCAATATCTTATGTCTGTCGTGCCCGTCGTGCTATAACAAACCATTTACATGTGACGGTTATTACTCTATCAAGACATAGTCCTATTTTGAAGCTCAGGGTCACTAGTTACGAAATGATCATACAAATTAAACTGTGTTTGACCCGAATAACATCAGATTTTGTGGGAGATTGTTATACAATTAAATGAAGGTAAACTTCTGTACCTTTGTAGCTCTGGTATTTTTTCCAATCCCCACAAGCTGATAACTCTAAAATACATCAAATGTCCTTGTCATTTTTTCCCTATATGCATGAACACAAGTGTAAGGGAATACATAATAGTCATGTTCCAGAAAACCACATGCAATGGAAATATTCACAGTGCGTTGTACATATGAACATATATATCTAAATGTCACGTACATGAATGCGATTTAGTGAAATGTTCGCCCAGATTGCAGACGCAGGATAATCAAGCATATGCCAATAGAAGTTAGCATTTTATCAATGTCAATTCCATGGCCTCTCACGCTTCTCCACCGTCAACATTTTCTTCAAAATATGTAAGGCTTAAATTCAACTTTGTATATGTGTTTTGTTGTTCAACGCCGCACTCAGTGATATTCCAACTTTATGACGGCAGTCTGTAATTAATCTGGTGATTGACATTATGAGCATCGATCCACGCTATTGGGATACGAAGGCATCAACCAAGTCAGCCAGCCTTACCACCAGATCTCGATCGCCTCATACGACAAGCATAGTCGCCTTTTACGGCAATCATAGGTTGCTGAAGACCAAGTTTTAGCCCGGATCTTCACGGGTCTGTCAGATATGTGGAGGACATGTGACTCAAATGATGTCAGATATAATTCCCTATGTCAACTTGTACCATATGTTCCCCCGTTTGTTCTATATTTCAAATTACAGGAACCACCAACAATGCCATTTTCCAAAGCGAGCACCATTTCATCCAGGCTGTTCAATTAAAGGAAAGTGTTGCAGAACGTGGACTTGGCAGCTCATAATGTGAATTCCACTACCTGTTCCTTCTAAGACATAGCATGTACCAGCCTATAGGTCATATAATCACAGGTGACTTCTCTTTTGTTGACAATAATAACATTCGTCAGTCATTCAAATATGGACCAAAATCATTCCAATGAGCAGCATCATTCCAATTGGGATCACAACTGTAAATCTTAGGGATGCTGTCGAAGAATATGCCAATAAATGGGGCAAAGGAGAACAGGAACCTGTGAATGTCCTCCAGAGTGGGTTAAGTCTGTGCGTGGTGTTGTCAGTGGTAGAATGCACAAACTGAAAAGAGAGGAAATAGAAATGGAACAAACCAATTCTGTCCCAATCAGCAGTCATCCAACTTCTGGCTGCCCTACATGAAAAGTCGTTGTTCCCACTGGCAAGGCCTCAAATAACATAACCATCACATGTAAGCATCCTACACACATTGGTTCATCAAAGAATTTGGAATAAGTGACATATCAAATAATGCCACCTATAAGGCCAATATGTTAACTGCCATGCATCAGTATGTCACGTCAAAAAATGAAATCCCGTATAATCTGCCAAAACCATGCATCAGTA